ATAAGCTATAGGGGTTACTCTATAAATAAGCTATAGGGGTTACTCTACACAATTGCTCTAACTGGTAATTGTGGGGGAAATTTATATGAAATGTTTGAATTGAGATGGGTTTTTTTTTGAAATGATGAAATCACAATATGCGATGAAATTGCAAACCTGACAGATAAAAGTATAAAGTACAATGAATATGTTTAAAGTTAAAAGAAATAGGTTAAGAAATGAACTGAAAATATATAAGTTTGAGGAAAGTACTTGAGAAAATTAATAGGAAATATGTAAAGTAATGATAAGATATGAAATTAAATGGGAAAGATGAATATGTAATTAAGGTCATGTTTGTATGGAAATATAAAAACTGGAATCGTGTTGTTCACTAAAAAAAAAAGTTTTTAAAATGTGGAAAACTGACATAAAATTTTACTAAAAAAAAAAACAAAACTTGTATAGATCCTGGGAGTTTACTTACCATCTCTACCCACACGTTCGTGGTGAGAGTCTCGTCGATCTCATTCTGGAACAGCACAAAAAAAAATGGGATTACAGATAGTTCTGGATTTACGACCGTTCACTTACTGATTCAAAGTTACGATGGTCTCAGAAAAAGGGAATCCTGAACCATCTGTCAAATTACGACCCTCATACCATGTCTTCATAACGTGGGCACGGACACAGGCTTGTAAGTTACGATGGTGGCCATGTCGTGCTGTCACGTGATTTGCGACCTTCCCAGCTGGCTTCCGACAAGCGAAGCCAATGGGGGAATCTGGGTTTGCTTAAGGACCACGTGGTTCGCTTCCAAACCATGCGATTTGCTTAAAGACTGCAGCGATCTGGTTAAGAACCGCAGTAAACATTCTGTCCACAACCACTTCTAGAATCTTTCCAAGAACACCGCAGCGAGACCTCCAGGCAATCACCAGGCTTCAAAACTGGGCCAAACACCAGGAGACGGGGAGTTGTAGACCCACCTTAGGCATGAAAGCCACCTGGGTGAATTTGGGCCAATCACTAGGTGGCTGTGAGTTCTAGTCCTGCCTTAGACATGAAAGCCAGCTGAGTGAATTTGGGCCAATCACCAGAAGACAGGGAGTTCTAGTCCTGCCTTAGGCATGAAAGCCAGTTGGCTGAATTTGGGCCAATCACCAGGAGACTGTGAGTTCTAGTCCTGCCTTAGGCATGAAAGGCAGCTGGGTCACTTTGGGCCAATCACCAGGTGGCTGTGAGTTCTAGTCCTGCCTTAGGCATGAAAGCCAGCTGAGTCACTTTGGGCCAATCACCAGGTGGCTGTGAGTTCTAGTCCTGCCTTAGCCATGAAAGCCAGCTGGCTGAATTTGGGCCAATCACCAGGTGGCTGTGAGTTCTAGTCCTGCCTTAGGCATGAAAGCCAGCTGGGTGACTTTGGGCCAATCACCAGGAGATGGTGAGTTCTAGTCCCATTTTAGGCATGAAAGCCAACTAGGTGATTTTGGGCCAATCACCAGGAAATTGTGCATGCGAATCCCTCCTTTGACATGAAAGTCAGCTGGGTGACCTTGGGCCAGTCACTCACTCCCTCTCTCAACCCAACCCACCTCACAGTAGCAGTAGAAGTTGTGCTAGGTATGTTTGCCACCTTGAGTTATTTATAAAAATAATAAAGATAGGATATAAGTGGGGGGGAAAATCCGTGTGTAGAACTTCAAGGAAAAAAATGAAGAAGAAGGCCTCCAACAAATTCTCCAGCCGCATGGAACATCCTATGCAGGGGTGGGCTGCTACCACTTCATCCCGGTTCAGGCGAACCCGTAGCTAATTTTATGGCTGTTTTACAGCCGGTTCGGCAAACCGGCAAATCCCACCACTGGCTGGCCCAGCTCAGCCCACCCCACCCCTCCCAGGCGTCCCCACATCGCCTGTTTTGGGTCCCAGGGAAGTACAGGGCCCATGAGGGGAGGGCGAAAAATGGGCCTCCCAAATGTTTTGGAAGGCTGGAAACAGGCCCATTTCTGGCCTCCAGAGGGCCTCCGGAGTCTGGGGAGGCCATTTTCGCTCACTCTGAGGCTAGAGGAAAGCCTCCGGAGCCTGGGGAGGGTGAAAATGCCCCCCCCCCCATCATGGTGCAGGAGGCCGACTAGGCCACGCCCACCCAGGGCAGAGAACCGGTTGCTAAAATTTTTGAAGCCCATCCCTGATCCTATGTTTCTGTTTTCCTGCTCTTAGACCAGGGGTGGGGAACAATGGTCCTTTTATGACCTGTGGACGTCAACTCCCAGAATTCCTGCTGGCTCAACTGGAAGCCCAAAGGTCATAAAGGAGCTATTGTCATGCCCCTGTCGGAGTCTGAATCCGAGGAGGAAGACGAACAGCTGACAGGGAGAGGGAGAGTGTGGCTCTGTTGGCTGTGGAGGAAACTGGGGAAGGGCAAAGTCCAGCTGGGCAGAGCAGGGGACAGGTAGAATAAGGGAGAGAGAGTTCAGGGAAAGACCCAGGCCCACCATCTCTTCATCCTAGGGCACGCAGGGAGGAACGGAGAAGAGAGCAACATGGGTTGCATGGCTTACGGGGGAGGAAAGGGCCCTGATTCCCTTCATTAGCCACACCTGGGAATGAGAGTTGATAAGAAATGCAGGAAAAGAAGGCAGAGCCTCCTCGCCGACGGACCGTAGATCGCGACTCTCTGCGGCTATGGTCTGTGCTCTTTCATTGGAGATCCCTGATCATTACGATTAGGGGCTGAAGCTGCCTTGGAGGGGCGGCGGAATAAGGGGAAGCCGCAAGCCAGGTTGAGGGGAGCCGCATCTCCCCCCCTGGGCTTGGTCTTTTTCCCCCCGAAGACGACTGCAGCTGTGGTTTAAAATGGCCACCCCAAAGAGGAGGACTCAGCTGGATTAAGATTTGTGCAGGAGGGAAGAAAGAGGTGGATAACATCTGAACCGGGACAACTGGGCAATACAACTAAACAAAAGTACCCCAGGATTAAGGTAACATGGAATTTTTAAGAAAAGAAAAGTGAGCAGCGAAATTACAAAGGGACAGGAAAAAAAATAAGAAAATATTTTTGACAGCTAAGCGGGGCTTCGAACTGGGAAAGGAAGAAGCTGGAACTAAAGATTTAACTAAATTGGACTAAAATATTTTGGGAATAAACAGGCATAAAATAAAGCTGGACTTAAGATTGCCAAAAAATAATAATAATAAAGTTTACAAATTGGAGACTGGACTGTGCTGGAATATTGAGGTTCGAAAAACCTTAAATAAAAAAAATAGGGGGAAAAGGTGAAGACTTTGTATAATGGAGAGTGCCACCTTTTGACAAAAACTTGAGCTCAAACAAAAGGGAAAGCATCCTGTTTCTGAATGAACTTGTGTGGATATAACATTAAAGAAATATTGAAACAAAGTAAGAATCTTAGAAAGTGAAAGCAGAACCAGAATAAAGGAAAAAGCAAGGAAAGACTGTGGGATTGATTGATGTTTTTGGTATAGACCCTGGGCTGGAATAACTGAGAACTTTAGATAATTGAAAGAAGAAAGAAGGAAAGTAAAAGGTTTTTTTTTGTGTGTGGACTTTAACGATCATAAAATATAAGAGTGTGTAATGATATCTCTTTGGGAATTAAAAATGGAACTTAAAAATATGAGAGAATTACTACAGGAAAGAGGCGAATCACTGTGCTCTGTGTTAGAAAAAATGGAAATGGCGATTGAAGAACAAGAAAAAAGAGCTTCAGAGGAGGAGGAGTCGACTCAAGGAGAAGACATCTTAAATAGACAATTAACACAAAGAACACTACAAAGAAGTGGGGAAAGAAGGAAGGTTAAAAAGGAGATTTAAGAAGGCAATCAAAAGGGGGAATACCTGTGAAGTCAGGAAAGGCAGAAAGACCCAGCAGAAAAAGGGAAAGGAAGATATTAAGAAAGAGAGGGATATAAACTGGAATGAGAAAAGATATGGGGAAAAGAGGGGGAGGAGAAGCAGTAAGAAACAGGTGCATGAAATAAAGAAATACGGAAATAGTAAAATGTTGAAAAGAAATTGTTTTTTCAGAGATAATGGTTGATGAATTAAAAAGGGGATTCTGCAGGGTGACAAGGGGTAATAAGAATATTTCTGCAATTAAAAATATTTAGAAAATAGGGTAATATAGATACTGATAACTCTTATTAAAAATCAAGGTGGGAAAATATGCTGCGGAATCCAAATGAAAAGATGTAATGATTATTATTGTAACTTCTTAAAAATAATGGTTTATTGGGAATCAAGATGAGGGAATAAAGGTATATTTTAATCATTGAGGTGTCACACTCAAAGCAGTAAAAGGGGGGAAACCTATACTTGTTTTGGTTTTTTTAGTGTTAAAATTTGTATTAATCTAGAATTTATAAAAAGAATGTGTAAAGGAAAGGGAATATGACAGACTAAAGAACCAACTAAATTAATAAGTTAACATAGACTATTAGAAGCAAGGAGAGACATTGGCAACCTTTATTATTATTATTATTATTATTATTATTATTATTATTATTATTATTAGGCAAACACATATTGTTTATCTTTATTATTAAAATAATTATTAAAGGATTATATTTGAAATAATTGAAATGAAACAAAAAGATGTTTCGATTGAGATTAATGAAAGAGGCTAGAATTAATGTATTTGTTTCTCTCCTTACTGAAAATTTGGAATGGAAAAGGTAATAATAGAATTAAGTATGCATATATGAATGTATAATTGCTGTCATATTTGTATGTAAAGGTGATGACCTGGAAATATGTTGTCCACTAAAAAGAGATTTTTGTTTTTAATGTGAAAAACTGAATAAAATTTGTTAAAAAAAAAAAAAGAAAGAAATGCAGGCAGCTGCTGGGATCAAATGTGAGTTTATCTTGTGTTGACTTTGCTTATCTGTGTTCCTGTCTTCCCAACCATGTTGAGTTTTGCCATGCCTTCACATCTGGAATTCTTGCTCCTGCCCTGCCAAATTAATTACCTCATTTTGCCTTGATTGGACTTATAGTTACAGTTTTTGTTGACCATGTTTTGGACTTGATTTTCTGCAGCCAAAGGTTGTTCCTGGGAGAGTTTTTCTCCAGCCCAGAAGGTAACCAGGACATTGGGGGCAAAGTTGGAGCTAATAAAGGGACTCCTACGGATTGTCTGACCGTGTTGCCTTTGTGCCACGCCCCTTTGGGTCATCACACCTGTCTTAGACTTTGCATCTCTTGCTGGAAACTTTGGGAAGTAAAAGGATGGAACCTTCTTGGCCAATCCTGAAAGTCCACAAGAAGGGATGTCAACCCCGTGCCTTACCAGGGAGATCAAGTTGGTGAGGGTCACCTTGAGAGAAACATTTACAATGTCCCCCTTGTCTAAAGCAGGGCGAAAATTCCGGTTATAATCGACCATCAGATCGTTGAAAAGATGTTCCTCCTGATTCCGGCTCAGGACAACTGGAAAGGAAGAAAGAGGGACATGAACAACATCACCAAGAGGTGGGGAGTTCAAGTTCTGCTTTAGTCATGATAAGCTTGACTGGGTAATTTTGGGCCAAACACCAGGAGACTGTGAGTTCTAGTTCTGCTTTAGGCATAAAAGCCAGCTGGGTGACTTTGGGCCAATCACCA